CCAGGAGTGGCCACTGCACTCCAGTCTGGGCGACAGTGAGACTCCAACTCAAAAAAACAAGAACAAAAAAAAAAGCTGGGCCATCCAGGTTAAAAGAAAGTCAAAGGACATCTCTAAATGTGATGATGAGTAAATCATGACTAAATTCTAGATCCAAAAAGCATCAAAGGCATTCTGGGGAGAATGGAATAAATTTAAATAGGAGCCAGATACTCAGTGGTATTACAGGATTTTATTAATTTTCTTAGGTGGATAATGGTGCCATATCGGAAGAACATCCTCACTCCTAAGAGATACATGCCAATACTTACTTTCTGAGGGCTGCGCCAAAGAAAGTGAGTGTGTGTACAGACATACAGAAAGACACAAAATAAATGTGATGGAGTCTCAACAGGTGAATCAAGGTAGAGGGTAACTGTGTATTTAGTGTACTATTCTTTCAATTTTGTGCAGGCTTGTAACTTCAAAACAGAAGGCTTAGAAAAAGGTCTGCACGCTCAGGAGGAGTACAGTGGTCTTGCTCCCCCGGCTCTCTGGGCCTCGATGGCCCTTGCCGTAAACTCCCATGAAGCTGTGGGCAGAGCAGCCCAACAGCCCCTTCCCGACACTGTGTGCTGCATTGCAGGTGACCACCGGGCCCAGGCAGGGCCTCCACTTGGGCCCTTGCACGTGGTGGGCATCAGGGAGCATCTCGTCTAGGCTGTTGGGAGGAGCCAGCCCCCCAGGGCCTCTCCCACCGAAAGCTGGGCAGACAGGACTGCGTCTTGTAGCAGGGTCAGGCTGCACGGTGGAGCTCGTGGGCAGCGAGTACAGCCCATGCTGTACCAATGGGGCAACAGAGTTGCTGTGTGCCACACCAGCAACTCAGAGACCTGCTGTTTCTGCACCTACCTGAGCTAGAGTGTAAAAACGCAACCTTAAGGCAGGATTAAACAAGGTGACGCGTCTGCAGCTCTCGGAACAGCCCAGGCCTCCAGGAAGACCACGTGTACTCGTGACTACTGGGATCCAGCCCTCTGATGCAAGGTTTTCTGATCTTGTTTTCCTATCTCAAGCTTCCTCAAATATTCTGTCCCATCTTCCTTTCAGATACTTCAAATACTTCATTAACATTTGGAACAATTAATCTAAAACCTAGTATTGAATGTGAAACAGGTAAGACAGATGTTCATATTTTGGAGGTACCAAATGAACAACTATGCACTCTAAAAAACATTCACTGAGCGCTACTCCATGCAGGTATTTTTCTGGACATCAGAGTGTCAACTGGGTGAGGCAGGCGAGGTACCTGACGGGGGCAGTGGAGGGAGGGGAGCAGTGGCCAGCACAAGTTCTGCAGTAGGCCTGGAAGGAGACCTGTTCTTTGGACTGGACGGGGCACTGATGGGGAAGTGGGGGAGGGGAGGTTTGAAAGAGAAGAATCGAGACATGTTCAGGGGCTGCAACAAAAGTGGCTGGGCAGATGGTCTCGGAATTTGCTGAGAAGGGTCAAACTGGGAGAACACGTTTGTGGAAAGAACTCTCGAGTTCTGCAAAGACCACCTTACACTTGAGCTGCCTGATAGAAATCCAAGCAAAGAGAGACACACTAGACTGAGGGTCGACATATGTCTCTGTGTGCATGTGTCTGAACATGTGTATACCTTCTCCCAGGACACACCCTGCAGAAACATGTAACAACTAGACTGAAAAGCCCCAGAAGCTGCCCTGAGGGGGCGGTACACAGCTCCAGTTGACCTTTCCCAGTGGCATGCACACGTACCCAGTTCTTGTGCCCCAGGCCTGGTGGTCACTCTCTTCTCCAACCCTCTTTCCACTAATGCCCCATTCCATGCCCATCTAGTTTCTTGAGAGAACTTTTCTTAATCTCTTACATCCTTTGAAATAGCCAAAATGGAGCTACACAGTTAGAGAACAGCCAGGCCGGGCATGGTGGCTCATACCTATAATCCCAGCACTTTGGAAGGCTGAGGTGAGAGGATTGCCTGAGCCCACGGGTTCGATACCAGCCTGGGCAACTTGGCAAAACCTCATCTCTATAATAAATCAAAAAATTAGCCGGGCGTGGTGGTGCACATCTGTAGTCCTAGCTACTTGGAAGGCTGAGGCAGAAGGATCACCGGAGCCCAGCAGGTGAGGCTGCAGTGGCCGGGAGCGGCCACTGCACTCCAGTCTGGGCGACAGAGTGAGACTCCAACTCAAAAAAAAAAGGAAAACAGCTATTTAGAAAGATAGTCAAGTTTGGAATACTGAAAATTAAAGTGAGAGCTGAGTTTTCAGTCACCCTATAGAACTTTTGTCATGAAGAGTTAAAAAGAGATATCCAAACAACCACAACTCACTCTGTATGTCCCTGGAAAACATTAACGGAGTGGATGGAAGGGTCCCTGAAGTCCCAGAGGCGGAAGGTCGTGTCGCGGGAGGAGGTCACTACAAGTCGCTGGGTGGGGTGTGTGCAGCAGTGCGTCAGCTCCTGGTCATGCCCTGCACCGAAGAAGACAAAGGTAAGGTCACGCCTGCAGTCTCACTTGGACTGAAGGTTTCTCCAAACACGAGGACTCAAACTCGTCTTCACGGGCTCCACTGCTAACACCCCAGCACAGGCAGACCTCATGGAATCGCCTGTAGGTATGGGGTCTTGGCAGGAAGGTTCCCTCAGACGCTGGCGTCCTTCTAGTCAAGCATTTCAGAGAAGCAGGCAGCCAGGCGTGTGTACGGTGGCCCACTCTCTGATCCCACCAGGGAGAAAACGTCAGCAACTACTCCATCAGGCCATGCGTGAGCAACACTGATCTTGGCTCTCCAGTTCCAGAATAGCTCATGATAACTTTACACTGTGAGCCTCAATCACAATCTTTAACATTCAGCTGGGAAGCACACTTACTGACCGATCTGCACAAACAGCTGGGGTAGGCATAATCCCAGAATGCCCCCACTCCATCGCCAGTACTCGTCCCACATAACGAGTATTTCCATCAAGGAGTTTCCGAGGACACCCCGCCTCGTCCCTGGTGCGTGCCCCACATAGGCCCCTCACCTTCCATCAGGACAAAATCCTAGGATGTCCCCTCCCATCCCTGGTACATGTCTTACATAGCAATACCCTTCCATCAGGGCAAAACCTGTAAATAGGTACAAGGCAACATCTCTCTGGTAACGATGGTCCACTATAAGGCAAAAAGGCCTGTGCAGATGCAATTAAGCTCCTTTCCTGAAGCAGATGATTTTGAGAGAATCAAAAGAAAAGATTGTCCTGGAGGCCTGCCCTAACTAGGTCGGTCCTTTGAAGGACCTCAGCCCTCCCAGGTGTTAGAGAGTTCACCCCTGACAGAATGGAAGGGTGGTACGTGGTATGTAGGACGGTCTGACAGTCAGCAAGAAAAGGGGGTCTCAGGCACATGGTCACAGAAAACGGACTCCTCCAATGACCAGCAGGCTTGGGAAAGGACTGCAGCCTCTGGGAGGGCCCACCCAGGGGACACCCTCGCTTCAGCCTTCAAGGCCACTAGGAGAGAAGCAGCAACCATAGCCCCAGACACCCTGACATGGGAAGCCAAGCAGTAGAGAATCCTGTTGTTTTAAGACACTATGTTTGTGGAAACACAGAGCAATAGAAAACTAATACAGCAACCATATGTAAAGTATCTGGATGCTACAAGCCACAACAAAATCCCCTGAAGATAAAATAAATTTAGCTACCAAAAGTTCTGTTAGAAAAAAATCTCCAAAAACTACAAAAGAAGAGCCAAGAGGACTAAAATAACTCTGGCCAAGAAGTAACTTGCAAGATCAGATATACACAGAGGACATAAATCAAAGGGACACTACTAGGAAGTTCAGAGGTTTAAAGAACCAGAGCACCTGTCAGAGAATGGACAAGCTCAGACGTCTCCACATCATACAGGTTCGCCGTGCGGTCCCAGGAGGCGGTCACAGCCTGCTTCCCCCCGACTAGCCAATCAGCAGCAATGACCACTCCCTGGTGGCTCTTGAGGGAGGTCAGCGGGACACGGATGGTAGGGCAGTCACTGGACACGTCCCCATCAAGGTCAGGCTCATCTTTGTCGGAGCACTCCACCTCATCTTCTCCAGAGATCTGCTGCTAAGGGAAGACCAGAAAGACACTTCCTGGAATCTTGAGTGTTTTCTGACACAGCTACAAGACCACACTGTTCTCACTGCTCTTTCTTGGACTTTTTAATCATGTGACCACTACCAGGAATGTCTGGTGCATACTGGGTGCTCAATGAATGTCATCAGCTTTATGACTCCATGGCGAAAACCCAAGGCCACATAGGAGGAAAAAAAGTAGAGGCCACTAGGATGTTGTCAAATGAGCTACAATTCATTTCCACAAACCAACAGATTAGCAAACAAAATTATTTTTCAACATTTCAAGTTTTTGACACTTGTTAATAGAAATGCAACATAAAATTAAACAGACAAATGAAAGTCAACAATTTATCGCAGTACAAAAAAGAGGCATTTCCATTCTCAAGAGTCTCTTAAAAATATACTTTAACATTTTACTTCTATAATAATGAGATTTTACTTTATTTTCCTACAATATCAATTAAGTATTTTGTCAAAGGCCAAGGATAAAATAAAAACAGAACAGCCAGCATAAATTGTAAGAAAATCTGTATATTCACTTAGCAAACGCTTACCAGGACCAGATGCTGGTTACACAGCACAGAAGAGGACAAATGGCACCTGCATGACATGTAAATATGCAAACACAGGCCCAATGTGAGTGGTCAGAACCACTCACTGGAGGGAACACACCTGAAAGCCCTGCCCTACAGAACTTCTATTCTAGCAAAAAAGAGACCACACACACTTCCGTATGGAGACACATATCATGTACATACACACGAGCATGAGAATGCCATATGCACATACACACTACTATGGAATACCTGCCACAGAGACACACACTAGCATGAGAATACACATCACATGAACACACACTATTGTGGGAATGCATGTCACAAAGACATACACTAATATACAAATACGTGTCAGACATACACTGGTATGGGCATATCTGTCACACAAGCAGACTAGTATAGAAACACGTCACATGGACACACTAGTATGGAAACACATGCCACATGGATACACAGTATGGGAATACGTGTCACACGGACACACACTAATGTGGGAATACCTGTCACATGTACACGTTAGTATGGGAATATGTGTCACACAAACACTACTATGAGAATACATGCCACATGGGCACATACTAGTATGATAATACATGTCACATGGACATCCTAGTATGAGAATAAACGTATGGACACACAAGCGATGGGATGTGTGTCAAGCGATGGACACACAAGCGATGGGATGTGTGGACATAGTGTGCTAGGGATACACACATCACAGGAACACACACTCGCAGGGGGATACACATTACATGCATGTACACAGAGTAAGGTGACAAGTTCTGTGCAATAAAATAAAGCAGGACAAGAGGCAGGTAGTCAGGAAAAGCCTCTCTGTAAGGCAGCGTTTGAGTCAGAACATGAAGACAGCAAGGGTATGGCAAGCAGATGTTGAGGGAACAGCATTCCAGGCAGAAGGAACAACAGGACAAAGTCCCAGGGTGCTGCACCAACTCAGTCACCAACGTGAGAGAGGCACGGTGCACGGGGGCAGCGGTATGAGGTAAAGTCAGAGACGTCACCCAGGAACAGCTTGTGTGAACCTGGGAGCCTGGAAAGGATGCTAGTACTTTACTGTGTGCAATGAAAATTCATCAGACAGTTTTGAGCAAGTACGTGGTACCTGTGATATCTGACATGTGATGTGTGAACAAACCACAGAGAGAACAATAAAGGAGGATGCTGTGCCTGAACTGTGTACCCCAAATTCTCATGCTCAACCTAACCCCCAGGACCTCGGAATGTGATTGCATGTTTTTTTTTTTGAGTCGGAGTCTCACTCTGTTGCCCAGACTGGAGTGCAGTGGCCGCTCCCAGCCACCGCAGCCTCGACCTGCTGGGCTCCGGCGATCCTTCTGCCTCAGCCTTCCGGGTAGCTGGAATTACAGGCACACGCTACCACGTCCGGCTGATTTTTTGATTTATTGTAGAGATGAGGTCTCGCTGCCCAGGCGGGTCTCGAACCCACGGGCTCACGCAATCCATTCACCTCAGCCTCTCAAAGGCGCGGGATTACAGGCTGAGCCACCGAGCCCGGGTTGTGATTGCATTTAGAAACAGGGCATTCGAGAAGGTAACTAAGGCAAAATGAGATCTCTAGGTTGGGCCCTAATCTAGTCTGCCTGGTGTCCTTATGATGACCCTGTGAGGACACACACGGGGAGAAAACATCGCCTACATGCCACGGAGAGCGGCCTAGGGAGGAAGCAGCCCTCCAGCACCTTGGCCTTGGACTCTAGCCTCCAGGATGCGAGGACACAGATGTGTTATCCATGCTGCCCAGCCCATGGCCCTTTGTCCTGGCAGCCCTAGCAAACAACAGGGAAAAGGACAGGAGGAGCTTCCAGAAGTGCAGTAAGAGAAGGTGGCCTAGGTGGGAGTGAGGGTGGCAGTGAAGGAGGGAAGAGGGAGGTAAGACCTCCTTGAGGAAAGATTCGTGATGTGCTGGCAGGTAGGTATCCATGCAGAACGTGGGATCAAGACAGGGCTCCCAGACAACTTGGAGGCACGTGGCCGGGAGCACTGGGTGGATGATGTGGCAGGCAGCGCAATGGAAGGAACGTCAGGACACTCGGCAGCCGCACAGCACAGCCTATGGGAGGAGCAGGGCACGCCATGAGGTCACCCAGGCCGGTGTGGGCAGGGAGCTCATCCAGGACTTCACCTGAGAGCAGGAGGAGTCACCATGGTGACAGCACTGCACCTAGCAAGACAATCCCAATAAAGCCAGAAAGAGACACATGAGCAGCCCAACCCCAGGCAGGGGATCAGTCAGGGCAACCACAGTGACCTGGCTCGGGGAGACGATGGCCTACATGGCTGCGGGCTGGCCAGGAATTGACAAAACCCCTCCCTTCCACGTGCGATGGGGGAGCTCCATCCCCTTGGAGCACTGCTTGGTTCCCAGATGGCGCTGCTCAAAGTAAAATGACCCCAACTGGTGAAACATGTCTAGACAGGAGGAGCAATACTTGTCCAAGCTCCTGGGGAACACTGTGGCTCTGCGCTGAGCTGGGCTGACATCCCTGGTGCTGCTCATGGGGGTCCTAAGCACCTGCACCCCCGCCATCCCCTGGATGTGACCTTGGACAGTGTCCTGTGCTGTGCCTGCTCCTAGAAATCTGACCCAGGGAGGCTGGGGATGCTGGGAGACCTGTGGGAGGATGCTGCTAAAGTGGCGTCACAAGGAGGAAGGAAAGGGGACTGAGAATCACTCAGGAATGGCAATCAGTGAGACTTCATGGATCCATGAGAAATGGAGGAGAAGGACAAATCCAATAGGTTGTTCACTGAAGAGTTTAGACAGAAGGACCCGAATTTCTAGGAACACAATGAGCTCCCTCCTCTCATAGGTGACCTGAGAGAGTTCGGGAGGAAGCACACTTTCAGTTTGGGTCACAGGCCATTGGCAAGAACCCACGTGTGCATGTGCTTGTACATGTATGTATCTGTGAGCAACAGGCACAATGGGAGCTCAGGAGGAAGCCCTGGAGTTCCTATGATCAGGAGCCACATTTGAAAAGATGAAACAAAGTCAGTACTTTATAGAAGTAATTTTTTCAAACTACACAAGGAAGTAAAAGACATTGTAAAGTGTAAATGTAGTAAGCTCCATTTTAAAGAATAATTATAAGCTCTTTTAACCTTAATTTGGTAGCGGACAGAAGGATGAGAATTGTATGCATGTATTTTTCCTGTCTTAGAGATAATCTATTTAACTTTGATCATTTTCAGGGCCAGCAACATGGCCCTATAATGTCCAAGAATTGCCAACATATACTGATAAAGTCCCTACTGAGCACTGGTCGTCCACAAAATCAACAACTGCTGAGTCACCATGTCCTAATACAGCCAGGGCCACTGGAAGCCATTTAGTTAAGGCCTTTCAATTTTCACTTCAAATGGAAACAATTAACCCTAAGTTAAATGAATGACTCAATGTCACCTAACTAGGGTACAAAAGTTGTTGAGTTGGTAGTCTAAATCTGTTTACACTATGCCACCCAAACATTCCCTCATTGACACTGTAGATAGCAAGCAAAATTCACTGATGCACGTTTTAAAAAAGAAAACATCTGTCCAAAGCTGTACCGGTTCAAGATGAACACAGACTTAACAGATTAGCGTTTCTCTTAAAATCCAAGATTAGCACTGCTAAGCAAACTGGAGTCAAGACTGGCAGCAAAAGCTTGAGAAAACAAGTTGCTTCCCATCTAAGAAGCATCATTTTCATTCAGTGATAACTGAAGAATACATCCCATGCCACTTCGCATAAGAGACTTGAGCACCTGCAGATTTTGGAACCTTGAAAGGTGCTGAGGGGGTCCTAGAACCCATCCCTGCAGACACCGAGAGGATCACACTACCTGCTATTTACGAGGGAGGGAGGAACAGTACCTATGCCTGCAGTACCTCTGGGGCAGCCTGAGCTCCTTCACGAATTTCTAGGCTGGTCTTCAACTTTGACCGTGCCCCCGGCCCCCACGTTAGTCCCAAATCATGAGGCGGCAACTGTCCAGCATGAAAGTTCCCACTTCCAATGGAAGCAAAGCAGTAGGGAAAATAAAGTGGCTTTACTATTCCAAGTAAACTATTAAGTGTTTTCCAACACAAGTACTATGCATAAATCTTCTCTCAGACAAGACTGGTATTTTCTTCTTTATTTTACTTGGAAAAAAATTCACACAATGTTCACACATTTTCTGAATGTCCTGACATCAACACTCACCTCTCTGCTTTGCCCTTGTCCCCCTCAGTGCACATTTCACTTGGTCCCCAAGTAGATTACATGTTAAGTAAACCACATAATGAAGACTCTGGTAACTCCACAAGGGGAAAAAAGCATGTTAAAATATGTAATATACTCGAATCAGAACTGAACTGTTAAGACTTCTCAACTAAAGAAAACTCACTCTTACTTATCACTGGAATTTATTAATTGCTTAACTCATCTCCAAGCAGAACAATGTTTGAATGTTTATAAAGCACAAAGTAAAGGAACAAAGACAGAACTACCAAAACTAGGCTACTATCATCCTCACAACCACCACAACCCAACGCATACTGAAACTGCCTGGACGTGCATGTGACCACAGAGCTCACTTCCGTTCCCTGCCTGGCACTGTCTCTCTGCTTGCCCAGAAGCACAGGAAGGGTTGAGCATCCTGAAGACAGCATCACTGGGGTTGATCCTGTAGCCGAAACTAGGAAGACAACTTCACTCAAAGGATAATTAAGACTGCAAGATCATAAATAGCAGATGCTGGGCTGAAGAAGACAGCATGAAGCAAACAGTAAATTAAGAATGTATGGTGTAAATATAGCAATTCGTTCCTCTCCTTGGTATACATCTTTGGCTACCTATGTTAAAATGTTAACCACATAAAAATGATGTCATATAAGCCGTTAGCTGATGTGGTAATGAAAATCTGTGAAAGATACTTAAGATATCTAATATTAAATACATAAAACATTAAGAAAGAGAATCTAAACACAGAATTTAAAAGAACAAATGGTAAATGTTTAATAACGGGTATGCCCAAAAGAAGTATACACATTTTAAGAGATGTTATCAATGTGTTACTTTTAATTCATCATAATCAGAAGTGTCTGGACGCTGATGGTAACCAATTTAAGCACCTCTTGTAATTGTAGAAGTCAAATGTGACTTGTATTTATCATTTGTTGTCCATATATAGTGAATATTACAATTTTTTTTTTTTTAGTTGGAGTCTCACTCTGTCGCCCAGACTGGAGTGCAGTGGCACACTCATGGCCACTGGCCACTGCGGCCTCAAACTGCTGTGCTCGAGCGACCCTTCTTGTTCAGCCTTCCAAGTAGCTGGAACCACAGGCATGCACCACCATGCCCAGATAATTTTTTGACCTACTACAGAGACAAGGTCTGGCCAAGTTACTCAGTCTGGTCTCGAAACCATGAGCTAAGACAATCCTCTCACCTCCACCTCCTTAAGTGCTGAGATTACAGGTGTGATCCACCACGCCCAGCAAGTATTACAACGGCAAAATATTTTCCTTTCTTAAAGTGTGCATACATTTTTTTGGCACCCCCTGTATTTGTGGAAAGGAAGGTTGATGCAAACATTGCACATATAAATAAAGGCACTTCTTTTTAGCTACTGTCTCAGCCAGCTCAGGATGCCCTAACAAAACACCATGGGCCAAGGGGCTTAAACAACAGATGTCAATGTTCCCATAGTTCTGGAGACTACGCGTCCACTTCAAAGGTGCCAATCAGTGCAGTTTTTGGTGAGGCCCCACTTCGAAAGATGTAGGCACCACCACCCTGCTGTGTGCCCACATGACCTCGCATTACAAAGACTCACCCGCTGGATCAGCCCCGCCCCTGGGCTCCGGCTCGTGTACCTTTAACTACTTCCTCAGAGGCCCTTCGCGAAACACACCCACTGGACATCAGGGCTTCAACGCAGCCTTGCAGAGGGACGCCGACTTTTGAGTCGTCACACCCTGTCCCTGGCGTCCCCCACATGCCTGTCCTTCTAGCATGGCAACACAGACCCATTCCAGCCCAACAGCCCCGAAAGGCCGACTCATTCCAGGGC